TCCACTATGCTAAAGAAAAAACCCTATCTAATAAAGAGGGAATATGCAAGGGAGGGCATTTGGGGGTGACTGGGGTTTTAGAGGAGGGCAGTTGGGAATAATTGGGCTGGCAGGGGAGCAGTTAGGCATGGATCAGGCTGGCAGGGGAGTGATTAGGGTGATCAGACTGACAGGCAGAAGCAGTTCGGGGCAATCAGGAAGGCAGGCAGGTGAGTAGCTGGGAACCAGCAGTCCTAGATTGTGAAAGGGTTGTCCAATTGCCTGTTTAGGTATCCATGGGATCAGGCCTAAAAAGGCACTTGGACATCCCCCAAGGGGTCCCAGATTGGAGAGGGTGCAGGTTGGGCTGAGGGACACACCCTCTCCTCCCATGCACAAATTTCATGCACAGGCCTCTAGTGAATTTATAACAGCTTCTAGAATGAATGAATACACTATGCATTCAAAATTACATGCAAAATGATTTCTGGTTCTAAAGGCCTAGAACTACCTTCACCTGACTCTAACACAGCCACACCCTTCTACTCAAAGTGTGGTCCACAGACCAGCACCTTCAGCAACAATACCACTTGGGAACTTGTTTGATTCAAAGAATCTCTGAGCCCACCAAGACCTGCATTTGAACTATAATCCTGGTAACTTATATGCACCACTGAAGTTGGAGAAGTGCTGGTCTAGACTAGATTTTCTCACCTCATGCTGGCATTAGGGCAGGACAATTATTGGTGGAGGGTATTATAGGTGTTGAGCAACATTCCTCCAGGCATTGCCAAATATTGCCAGGGGCAAAATCATCTCGGGTAGATAACCGTTGGCCCAGAGTTGGAAAATTGGAAGCAACCTGACAGATTCCAATCAAGGCCCATTCCTTATTTAGCTCATAACTTTCAGCAAATCAATAAACTTTTTTCAAACTCAATTTTTGTAAAGAGAATGGAATTCATAATATAAAGGACATTTTGAAAAATTAAAGCAGGCAGACTTTAAGGTACTAAGCTCAAAATATATGACATAAAACTATCAAAATAAATATTTTATAATGAGGTACTAAATAACAACTCTTCACTTGTGAAATGAGTACAAAATTCCTTATTATTTTGACAAGTATGTCAGGAAGCCAAAGAGTGTGAAGCCCAGGATTCCATATCAAAGGAACTCAGTCCTTTTTTTGGAAAGGAAAATAACAATTCTCTAGAGAGACATCAGGACAGTGTCCCCAGCAGGCATCACTTCTTGAGTATCACAGGGTCCTGGTTTTGATGGGCTCCATAATCTCAGACATGGAAGACAATGGTCAATCAGTGTTGGAATAAGGTAGTAAGAGGTTAGATCTCTGGAAAGCATGTAAGATCAAGACAAGGCATCATAAAAACTAAACTCACTTGATTTTTAACCTAGTCTCTTGGGATCAGAGAATCATTAGGAAAATTTTCTTTCTGTTTATTTCAGAGGACAAGAGGGAAATCATGAGCGTAGATGTTTAAATGACACAAGGGAAATGTGCCAGATGAGCAGGTATAGAGAAAACTGTAAATCTCTCCCATGTGCAGTCCTCAGCTTGTACAATGTTGGGGGACAGGACATGGTTGTGGCTTTTGATTCCTAAGCTGGCTCAGGGACTGACGCTCTACTCCTTCCTGCTGTCTGGTGTGGGGAAGAGCTTCAGTCTCATCATCAACCATCCAGAGAGCAATTCAGACTTCCACACGGAGAACTTCCTCTCAGAGACCCATCCAGGTGAGTCTAGTAAGGCAGCAGGTACATCAGGAAAGGGTCAGGGAGGATGGAACCTGCCAGCTTTTACCTGAGTCACTGTGACCCTAATCAGCCCAGCCCATAGACCTTATGTCTTTGTTTGTATTCTTGGGTAAGTAAAGTAACTCACCTATACTCAACTTACTTAATATGTTAATATGTATGTATCTCTTTGAATCTGCAATATATGGCCCATAGTGGACAACTGGGTGGTGGGAATGGGAGTCCAGTTGGATGACATTGTAGAATGAGTGGGATGCATAATGGCTGTAGGGAAATGAAAACATATTGAGGAGCTTTGCTGTTCAGGGAGAAGGAGATAGAGTGTTAGGTGTGGAGGACAATCCAGTGAAGTGAGAATGTTTGTATTAAATTTCTAAGACGAGGTGTATTTGAAATTGCTTTGTGTTTTTGAAAAGATTCGGACTAATGAGTGTAGATATGAGTATCTTGAAACAGCAGTACGTGAGACATACATTGCAGTCTCCTCTCTCATGCTGGCATTCACATGAAAAATATTTAATACGTCTAAAGAGGAATACTAAATAGTTCTCCTTCATCACTCGTGAGGCTGCATATATTTTGGGTTTTGTATTCTTTTACTTTCTATATTGTGAAGTTAGTGGAAATTCCTGTCCCACACTCAGCTTTTTTCTGCAGTGGTCATTTTTTCATACTTTGAATGAGAAATTCTGCCATGCACTTGGGGAATATAAATTGAGGACTCACCATCTTCTAGCTCAAGAGTATAGTGTGCTGAGAAACAATACTTCTTACAGTTCAGTGATAGAGAAATTAAGGCCACACGTTGTACCATAGGTCTTAATGACACAAAGGCACATAGTTCACAACAGTTTACATGTATGTAATGAGGACTTCACTGTTCCAGCTAATGGGGTGGAATATCTCCAGATAGTTTTAAATTTTCTTCTTTACTTCATGTGGGTTTTCCAAGTAAAATGTCCTTACCCAAGGAACCTAATAAGTAGAGAGACTTAAACTAAGTTCCATCTAAGGTGTTTTGCTGAATAGATTACTCGATGAGATTTCCATTGCTGCTGTAAAACATTGCTGCAGTCTTTGTTGAAAGTGAACATATATATTCAGGCCCAGGTGCCAGAAGCCTGAAATGAGTCTCATATCAAGATGTGGGCAGGACTGGGTTCCTTCTGGAGGCTCAAGGAGAATCTGTCTTCTTCCCAATTCCAGTTTGCACTGCTGACCACCTGCAATCCTTGACTCGGGGCTTTTCCTCCCTCATCAAAGCCAATAGTGTAGTCTTATCTGGTTTGGCTCAGTGGACAGATCATCAGCCTGTGGACCAAAGGGTTCTGGTTCAATTTCAGTCAAGGGCACATGCTGGGGTTGTGGGCTCAATTCCTGGTAGAGGGTTTGCAACAAGCATCCAATCAATGATTCTCTCCCATCATTGATGTTTCTATCTCGATCTCCCTCTCCCATCCTCTCTGAAATCAATAAAAATATATTTAAAATAAAAACAGTAGTGTATATTTTCATCTTGCCTCTCCTTTTGCATCTAGAGGACCATTGTGTTTACCATAGTTCCATGGAGATGATCCGGGCTCATCTTCTATTTTAAGTTAGCGTCCTCGCTGATTTTGCTCAGTGGAGTCAGTGTAGGCCTCCAGGGCGAAGGGTCCCATCATGTGCTGGGGAGTGGGAGTGCGGGGAAGAAGTCAGGGGGGAAAAGGAGACATATGTAATACTGTAAACAATAAATGATTAAAGAAAAAAAAAAAAAGAGCTCATGTCTGGGTTGTGAGTTCCATCCCAAATAGGGGCATGCAGGAGGCAGTTGATCAATGATTCTCTCTCAGCATTAATGGTTCCAGCTCTCTCTCCCTCTCCCTTCCTCTCTGAAACCAATAAAAATATATTTTTTTAAAAATAAAATGAAGTCAGCCAATTAACAATCCTGTTCCATCTGCTACCCTAATTTTCCCTTGCTATAAAAAATAATGTATTTCTAAAGTACTGGGAATTAGAATGTGTATACCCTTTAGATGTTCTTATTCTACCTACAACAAATCATATTTTAGTATTATTTTTGTCACTTAAGGGCTCTTATATAACAGAAACAAATATTTCATCATGGCCTCTAGATTAAAACTCCATCCAAAGACAATACTTGCATCAAAAGACGTAAAACTTCCTGTAGCCAATTCTAACACAGAACCACAGCCTTTCCACTCAGAGAGTGGTCCTCAGGCAAGGACCTGCAGCACCACACCACCAGGGAGCTTGTTGGAAATGCAGAGTCTCTGAGCCCTCCAGACCTGCTGCATCAAATTTTGTCTTGAGTCCAAATCTTGGGGACTGCATGGGAACATTGAAATTGGAGAGGTGCTGATCTAAACTAGGTGTTCTCACCTTTTACCATTGTCTAGTATTTACATATTTCTATTATTTGCTTACACTTTTATTGTTACATATTTCTATTACATTCTTTCCTCCAGATTTAGTTGTAGGGACTTTGTTCTTCCATACCCTCTACTTACAGCCCAGACAGTGCTGAAATCACGGTCAGCACTCAGTTTATATTCCTGAAATGCATGAAAATTTTTCATTAAAACTAAAGTATACCGGATATCTTATGTAAAAAGCAGATTGAGACAAAAATTCCTACTCTGAAATGACACAGGAAGGTCCTACATGGAACCAAATCCAGACCAAAATATTGAAACTAACTTCCTGACTATGGGAGACACACTGTTGCATTAGAGCCACTTTGTAGAGAGCCACCCGGGAAGTCACAAGGACATTCTTTTCTTATCAGCTGAGCCGAGGGCACCTGCAGAATCCTGTTATCAGTACCGATTTCTTATCTTTATCCCGGTGCTTGGAATGAGGAACAAATAGGACCTTGACTTACCAGATCTTGATATGTTAAATCTTGTACAAAAAAAAAAAAAAAAAAAAAAAATGAGGAGCACACCCGAAACTCCCTTTGACCTTAAACTCCCCTTTGGAAGCCAATAAATATGCTGTGTTGTCTGTGGTGAGTGTGACTGTCTCTCCATCAGAGAGATGGCGCCCACCTATATGAATCTATTTCTGCCTCTTGTCTTTTTCTTTCTCTAATTTCTTAATCCCTAGCTCCTCCACTCAGGAACCTGTCGTTTTTCTGTTCGGGACTCGGAAAAAGGAGAAACACCACACCACCTGAGTAACACTAGATTGTAAGAAAATTCCTCATGCTCCTTTCTTCTTTCTTGGAAGTCACCCCCACCTCATGGAACCAGGGAATCTTACAGGAGTGTCAGAATTTCTTCTCCTGGGATTTTCAGAGGACCCAGAACTGCAGCCCCTCATATTTGGGCTTTTCCTCTCCATGTACCTGGTCACTATGCTTGGAAACCTGCTCATCATCCTGGCAGTCAGTTCAGACTCCCACCTCCACACACCCATGTACTTCTTCCTCTTCAATCTGTCCTTGGTAGACATCTGTTTCACCTCCACCACCATCCCAAAGATGCTTGTGAACATCCAGTCACAGAGGAAAGTCATAACCTATGAAGGCTGCATCGCACAGATGTATTTTTTTCTACTCTTTGGAGTTATGGATAACTTCCTTCTAGGAGTGATGGCCTATGACAGGTATGTGGCCATCTGCCACCCCTTGCACTATATGGTCATCATGAACTCCCAGCTCTGTGGTCTGCTGATCGTAGTGTCTTGGATCATGAGTGCCCTGAATTCCCTGTTACAAAGTTTGATTGTGTTGCCATTGTCCTTCTGTACAGACTTGCAAATACCCCACTATTTTTGTGAACTCAGAGAGGTGGTCCAACTTGCCTGTTCTGACACCTTTCTTAATAACTTGGTGATGTATTTTGGAGTTGTGTTACTGGTTGGTGGTCCTGTTGCTGGTATCCTTTACTCTTACTCTAAGATAGTGTCCTCCATATGTGCAATCCCATCAGCTCAAGGGAAATATAAAGCATTTTCTACGTGTGCCTCTCACCTCTCAGTTGTGTCCTTATTTTATGGAACAAGCATAGGAGTATATCTCAGCTCTGCTGCTTCCCATAGCTCACATTCAAGTGCAGTAGTCTCAGTGATGTACACTGTGGTCACACCCATGCTGAACCCCTTCATCTACAGTCTCAGGAACAAAGACATAACGAGGGCTCTGAAAAGAATCTTTGGGATGGCAGGTACAAAGAGGACAATCATTTGGGAGTAAAAAGTGCTCTCGGTTTTGGGACTACAGAACTAAAATCCAGAAATTGTGACTCTTTAATCACATTGTGTTTTTCAGACTTGCTCCTTTTATTTTTTAACTATATTTTTGTCGATGCAGAGAGGAATGGTGAGGGAGAGAGAGATTAAAAAAAACATCAATGATGTGAGAAAATTATTGATTGGCTGCTTCCTACATATCCCCTCCTTGGTATCCAGCCCACTACCAGGGCATGTGCCCTGACCGGAAATTCAACATTGACCTCCTGGTTCATGGGCCAATGCCCACCCACTGAGAAACACAGGCCAGGCCAGACTTGCTCCTTTTATTTCTGTCCTTGAATTTCCTTTGTTTGTTTCAATTTCTCTGTACATTTTAAGAAACCATTTTACTAAGCTTTCTGTCTTGTCTGTTATAGAGACAGTTTTTCCCTTTGTTCTTTTTTAACCTTCACAAAGTTTTTTTCCAACCTTGGTCAGAAATAGTGAGCAGTTTTCATTTGCTTCACTAGAAATATTGATGCCTTAAGAATAATTTCTTCTCAAATGACATATCTCATTGTAAGTAATTTTTTCTTGTTTTGTAGGTAGAATAGTAATAAGTGTTATTATTCATGTAGAAAAACAACACTTGGCTACCTAATCATTATATATAATTTCATTCCACAAAATCTGAAACCTACATTGCTACCTTAACTGCTTTTCGTGATATTATATATTTTATTATTGTTCCCTGTAATTCTCAGGCTATTGATAGAGATGCAATAGGATAGGAATCGTGACAACCAGCCTGGTTCCTACTACTGTTCCTCCTGCATGCCCCCTATTGCATATCCCCTCTTGGGGAATGAGACCAGAGTCAAAGTCCTGGGTGGATGGATTCTGTGTTCCTTCTTATAGTTACAACAACCATCATGGAACTTTAAAAACATAAGGTTTATTACTCACAGATCCTGTGATCCCATAAGCCACAAGGGAATCTGTGTGTATGCATGTGCGTGTGAATGAGAGAGAGAGAGAAATGGACTTGGGCTGAAGGACTCTGCCTCTTTTGGGGTTAAGGGCAGGATGGCTATGGTTTTGTGAGTTTGCTTTTTTAAAATGTATCTTTATTATTGAAATTATTATAGATGTTCTCCTTTTTTTTCACCAATGACTTTACTCCTCCCCTCTCCTGAACCTCCCCTGTACCCCACTTCATCCCAGGCCTTCGCCCTACTATTACCTGTGTCCATGGGTTATTCATATATGCATATAAGTTCTTTGGTTTATATCTTCCCTTCCTTCCCCACCACCCAATTTCCTCTGAGGACCCACAGTCTGTTGCATGATTCCATGTCTCTGGATCTATTTTGTTTGGCACTTTATTTTGTTTATGGATTTCACATATAAGTGTGATCATGTGATACTTGTCTTTCTCAGATGGACTTATTTCACTGAGCATAATAATCTCCAGGCACCTCCATGCTATTTCAAAGGGAAAGAGATCTTTTTTTAAAAATTTTTTTTTTACCACTACATAGTATTCCATTGTGTAAATGTATCACCATTTTGGTGGTTTTTTTAAATCCATTCTTCAACAGATGGGCACTTGGGCTGTCTTCAGATCTTAGCTATTGTAAATAATGCTGCTATGAACATAGAGGTACACACATTCCTTCTGATTAGTGTTTCAGACGTCTTAGGTTATATTCCTAGAAGTGGGATCACTAGGTCAAATGGCAGTTCCATTTTTAAATTTTTTTTTCCATTTTTAAATTTTTTTGAGGAAACTCCACACTGTACCAATCTACTCACCAGCAGTGTACTAGGGTTCCCACTTCTTCACATCCTTACAAGCATTTGTTGTTAGTTGATTGATTGGTAGTAGCCATTATTGCAGGTATGAAGAGGCACCTCATTTTGGTTTAATTTGCATTTCTCTGATGAATAGTGCCATTGAGGATTTATTCATATGACTGTTGGCCATTTCTGTGTTCTTTGAAATGTCTATTTGGGTATTCTATTCATTTTCTGATTAGGCTGTTTATCTTCCTTTTGTTAAGTTGTATGAGTACTTTATATATTTTGAGTTTGATTTTATTTAAAACCTAAGAATAGGAATTGAGGCAATGGAAGGAAAAGCAGGGTCATTTATGTGGTTAGTTTTCTAGGCTACTCAGGGTTTTCAAAAGGGGAACTTTATAACATGTTAATTCTTGTGTAAGTATTACACAAATTCTATGTCTATTCCTGTGTGTAATTCCAAACAAACTTTGCTCCCTAGATATATCTATTGTCTAATGTGAAGTTTCTCCCTTTGCTTATTTAAAAATGCTTCTAATTAAAAATAAAATTTCACATGTTAATTATTTCAAAATAAAATTATTAAATTTAACATAAAAAGGCAACTTACTGGGTGATGGTAACATGAGTGCTTATGTAGTAACTCTGTCATGAATCAGGCAAAATTATATTTGTGATGGATATATTTGAAACAAATGCTTAGTAAAAAAATGCTACTGTATTTTATACCTAATGTCCAGGTTTCAATGTTGTATTTAGCTGAGCATCCAGAAAAGCTCCCATAGTTACTGGCAAAACTTGATTATCACATATCTATCTCCCAGTGGCATTTACTTGGAAACATACGTGAGCAGTTCAGAGTCAGGGAGAGCAGTGAGATAGTATATATATGACATTCTGAGCTAGAGATGAGGTAAAAGCTCTTGAGGATTTAGAAGGGAGGAAGAACATTTCAGGACAATAAGAAGAGTAGATGTTCAGTAATTAGAAGTTTGCCCTGCCCTATATATAGGTCATTTCTGACTAGAGGTCTCGTGCACGAAACTTGTTCACTGAAGGGTCAGGGGTGTCCCTCAGTTCATCCTGCACCCTCTCTAATACGGGACCCCTCACAGATGTCCCACTGCCAGTTTAGGCTCCATCCCAAAGGGTTCAGGCCTAAAGGGATGTGGCCTAAACTGGCAGTCAGATATCCTTCTCACAATCCGGGACTGCTGGCTTCCAACTGCTCGCCTGCCTACCAGCCTGATCACCCCCTAACTACTCCCCTGCCAGCTTCATCAATGCCCAATTTCTCCCCTATGGTCCCAATTGCCTCTAACTGCCCTCCCCTGCTGCCCAAACATCCCCAACCTGCGCTCCCCTGCTGGCCTGGTAATCCCCAACTGACCTCCCCTGCCAGCCCAGTCACCCCTAACTGCCTTCTTCTGCAGGCTTGGTCACCCCCAACTTCCCTCCCCTGCTGGTCCACTCACCCCCATCTACCCTCCACTACAGGCCTGGTCACTCCTAACTTCCCTCCCCTACAGGTCTGTTCGCCCCCAACTGCCCCCCCCCCCAACTGTCCTCCCCTGCAGGCCTGATTGCCAGCAACTACCCTCCCCTGCTTATCATCTTGTGGTGGCCAACTCTGACCACATAGGGGCAGCCATCTTGTATGAGGGTGTATGGGTCAATTTGTATATTATATTTTTATTAAATAGGAGCAGGATAACACTTATTATGGGAAAGACCCAAAATTTAAATTCTTTAAGGGAAAGGTAAAAGTTTCTCTTGGACTCCCATGGTCACAGATGCCTTCAGCTAAAAAATAATCCAAGTATATGTCTTGGGGTGACTCATTCTGAACCCTTACAATAGTGACCCAGTTTCATTCTTTTGCATGTTGTTGTCCAGTTTTCCCAGAACAGTTAACTGCAGATACTGTCCTTTCCTCATTTCACATGCTTGGTTCCTTTCTCCTAAATTAATGATCTTCTTTGTGTGGGTTTATTTCTTGGCTGTCTGTTCTTTTCTGTTGATCTATGTGTCTGTTTATGCCAGTACTATAGTGCTTTCATTACTATAGCTATAGTTTTAGAATATTGTCTGAAATCAGGGAATGGGTTGCCTCCAGCTTTGTTTTTCTTTCTCAGAATTGCTTTGGTTAATCAGGGACTTATGCAGTTCCACACAAATTTTAGGTTTGTTCTATTTGTGTGTGTGTGTGTGTGGGAAAATGACATTGGAATTTTGATAGAGATTGTATTGTATCTACGTAGCACTTTGCATATATTAAAAATAAAAATTCAACCAAGTAAATTTACAGATTTAATTGTATTTATTATTAAGTGATTCATGAATCAGGTAGCATACTATCTGGCAACTAAAAGGGAGCTCTGAGGGGATGTACAAAATAGAACAATTTTATAAGAAGGTTGAATGGACAAAGAGCTATTAACAATGGGAAAAACAGATTATTTGGAAGCCATAACATGTTTTCTTTGGGGTAAAGGAGGGGAGGAAGTATTTCCATCATACAGATTCCCTCTTCATTCTGTCGGGGATATGCAGGGTCCATATGACAGATTATCTTACTGTTGTTAGACCAGAAAAATCAAGACTGGTTGTCTAATATTAATAATAATATTAGAAAAATTTATTGTATTAAACAAAAAGCTGTTCCCAAAATGTTAACTAAAATTTTTATTATTAGTTCATCTCATGGTAAAATTGCATAGCATGTAATAAATCTAAAGCAGTCATTTTATAGTGCAAAAAAATAAAATTTAAAAGGTATTTACATTATAAAATTTCCAAAAGCCTCCTAATATTTAAATAAAAAAGGAGGATAGTAGAAAAATATCATGTAAGGGAAAATATACTGTAAGTAAATTACATCTATAAAATTTGTACTTTTGAAAATTAACTTTCATTTATAATGCTAACAGCAAAACACCCATGAAAAACACATGTGGTGTCAAAACAAGCCAAAGGAAAAGCATTTGGGCAAAACATGAAAAAGGATCCCAAGTCAAACTTATAGAAAATATTCCTTTATTAATATTTGATCTAGATAGGTTTGTATATTTTCAGAAAACAATTGTGAAACCATGTGGATTCCTGCAACAGAAAAGAATTGACAGGACTGTTCCAGCCATGAAGACAGAAAAGAAGCAGTCCAGAGATTGAAGACACCAACAATCGCCTTGCCATACTAGCAGTCAACAGCTGTGTGTCACTGCAGGTTGCCCAGGACCAAACCAGAGAGGGTCAGACCGGCCTGGCCACCTTTTGTCCACCATTTAAAAGTGTAATATCAATGCTGACATGTA